AGACCTTCTGTCCCTATAGTGTTAAGGTGTAACTTGAACAAACCAATGATTTGCCAATTCTGATCTCAACAGGAGGTCTGGGATATTACACATTAATATATTTAATTATTAATTACAATTTTAAATAGTGGGACCCCATTAGAAAAGATGGGTTAGATATAAAAGACTGTAACCATTAATTCTCTTAAAATCAAGTAACAATTTCAAGTCCACATAGAATTTGATGGGAGCCAACATGGGAAGTAAAACATGGGTGATGTTCTATCAACTGGGAACCTGTAAGGCACTGTGCCCATGGGCTAACCTGTTTAATGTGTTTATCCAGCTGCTAAGATGGATTCAACTACTATAGAATGTATGCTTTCATTTAAAGCAAAATGAAGAATGTTGGCTTTGATGGGAGATGGATCAGGTCTTAGGAGAGCTATGAAGTGTCTTCTAGTATTTGCTTAATGTGGTATATATTTAGATTTCAACTTAATGACATTAATTTTTCCAAATAACTTGGGTGAAGAATGGTATGCTTAATTTGCAGATTCGGTTCTCCCTCCCCATGAGCAATCCTGTATGCAACTAAAGTTACTAATTAAAAGTTTACAGTTTTTACATTACAGTTTAAACAAATTAAACCATGTAATGTAGAAGCCTTTTCCACCTTTCCCACTAAAACTTTGCAGATTTAAGGTAATTTTTAACATGTACTCATACAATTACATTAAAAATACATTCCCAGCAAGGAATTTTTTGTATGATGTGTAAATCAGATTTTAACCTATTAAAGGGCACACACCAAAACTTTACATGAGTGATGCAAAGATCCTTTAGAAAATGAATTTGCTCAGGTGCACATATGATTCATAACTGCATGTGCATTCCTTCAAATATAGGGGCACAAACAGTTTTGAGAATGTATCTCATATGCACAAAGTAGCAAGGGACTGATCAGTACTCAGAACCTGTAAACAAATGGAATACAGTTGGCATTTCGGAGTGACAAGGGACAGCTAGGAGAGAAAAGACTAGAGAAACAGAAGAATCCTTGTACCTTATTTTCCAGCAATGACTTTCAAGGGGCTAATACTATAGTCAGTGAAAATGGTTCTCCATCATCTATTAGATGAATGAAAGCACAGGTGATGAAAACACAAGATAATTTCCTGAAGAGCTTAAGCTGTTCACAGGAGCTGGCTGTTGCTTTGCCTATCTTCACAAAACAGTGATTACAGAAGTGTTCTTCTGGTTCCTGGAATCCTACCTTATTTGAAATGCAAGGTACAAGTGCAAAGCCCTCATTACTGTATTTTCTTATTTTTCTCATTCAGCCTTAGAAATTTGCATCAGACTGAGTTCATTCTTGATAAATATCTAAAGCATCTCAGCAAATTTGTGTCTCTAGAAAAAGGACAAAAGTTTTAAAAAGTGTTAATTTGAACAGTCTCATGAGAAAGAAAAAGCAGGATTGTTTAGGCCCATTTTCTTTTTATTAATAATATAAGTTCTATAATCTCTTAACATTACAACTGGAGTTTTACAGTTAATTTCACACTAAATGACAAACACTGTTTGGCTTAATTAGCAGAAAGTTGAATTACAACCTTGATAGATACTAATTTCAAAGACTGAGAAACAGTTTATGTTTTCTGGATTTCAGTATTTATGCATCCTTGCTCTTTTGGTTAGGTTGGTTTCAGTTAATTAGCATTATTATGGAAGAACTGTTTAACTTGGTCTCTGTTCACTGCTGTAAGGAAAAGGGGACATCTTTATATGTATCCTGTCAAAATAAGCAACATGCACAGTACTGACAAAGCCATGAAGAGACTTGATGTTCCTTCTGGCCTTCCAAGCTGTAAATCTGTACATGTTACTTCTTTTAAGAAGTTCCCTGTAATGACATTACACCCAAACTTCTGTAAGAGTGACTGAATGGTATATCCTAGTTGTAAAGCGATAACAGTCAAATCCTCATTCTACAGCTTTGAATTTTACTGAAAACCAGAGAAAACTAGCAGTTTCTTTTAAATACAAGTGGTGACAAAGTTAAAACTGCTTGTTTTGTACTGGAAACATGTCCAAGGTACCTCACAAAATGAAAAGTAATGCACATTGCCAAGACTACACAGACATCTGATCTGCATAGACCAAGCTTCATCTTTGAATAGACAGCAGCTACAGTAAGTGAAGCCTGTGTGAAAGGAGAGAGAATGGGGAGGAAAAATGTTGGAAGACTTAATTTAGCATTAAAAACAGTCTTTTTTACAATTGGCCGTGCTTCCTTTACATACTTTTGTCTCCAGTAGATGTGTTACAAGAGTATAACCAACACTTTTTATCTGGTATATTGATTTTCAAAAAGTATTGAAACGCTGAATCTCTCACATTTTGAACTACTAGAGTTATGTATATTTTACAGATGCAGGATTTTAAATTAGGCTTTGAACAATCCATAAGACACTGTTTAAAAAAAGAAAATTAAGAAGAAACTAAACAAAATGGCAGTAAGAAGTGTACTAATTATAATTTGTTCACATTAATTTGCAATTTACCATTTTCTCAGGCCTGTCCACTGCTATTACTGCATGTAGGAGCTCCAAGTTATTTCACTTTATTACACAAGACAAGACTAACTGATGTAAATTTTTACTTTGTGATATCAACTTCACAAGTCATCCGGTTATAATCACAGATTTATGGGTGCATAGATGACTGCATGAGAAGAGATTTACCTGTACAACTTCCATTAACATATAAAGGATGGGGAAATATGGTTAGGAAGGTAACACTGGGAGAGGAAACCGTAGCATTTGTAGTGCCAGATAGTTCTTTAAATCAAATGAGCCAACAAGACTTGAGACAGCACAACTTGTTCATATTGAGTAAAATCGCCATAAGGAAACCAAGTCCTTCTTACTTTAATTCTGCTTGTATTGTCATATTCCAAAAAGAAAATGTTTTTCATGTATCCATTCATTCATAAATCTGATTCTTCATAGTTAGACATGCTGTGTATATTGAGGCACATATTTACTGACTTCTAGCAAAATAATACAGTTTAAGACCTCTGTATTACAGAGTGATACTAGTAGTCAGCAAGATTCCAGCTGCAGACATGTAACCACCATTTGCACAGAATGCAAAGTTGAGAAATCCACAGCATAAAAAAAGAAAGATTACAGATTCACCTTGCTGAAAAGTACATGCTGTACATGTTGAATAAGGAACACTTACCCATATAGTGCTGGAAGTCAGAGCTTCCTAACACTAACTGTGATTGCAAATTTTTCGGTGCTGCTGAAACATGAATTCCATGGACCACAACTTTCAAAGTAAAATACAGGAAGGCTGGATTCACTTTTTAAACTAAAATTTCACGAAACAAAGATTAAAAAAATTCTAGCTGCATTAAAAATACCACAGTAACTTCCTATTTCATGACTAGTAGAATATAATGAATTGTTTTAATTTGCTATCTTTTTGAATTCATATATTTGAAAGTGCTGTTTGGGTAGTCATGGTCTTTTAAGTGATTTTTAATCAGCTATTCTAAATTAGTTATAAAATAGCTTCAAAGTTTTGTTTAGATATGCAGTATTTTTCAAGCAATAGGATGATAAAGTGTGGTAAATTTAAAATAAAATGAATATTAAATTATGTTATCAGACTATGGTGTTATAAAATGTTAATTTATAGATTATAAAAGTTATAATCTTTAATGTTTTATTACTAAAATTGACAGCTAATTATTTTAAAATAGTTTAAAAACACAAATGTCTCAATTTTAAATTTAGGTTTTTCATGTGAAGGTTACTTCTTATATAAAGGTGTCCAAACTGCCCACATAGAGTTGTGTAGCAGCTAGCTAATTAGACAGTATGTCCTCATAAAGATAGTTTACATTTTGAGTTACTATCCTATATGATTAAATACTTTATTTTAAATATCAAAAGTTGGATAATTTGCTTTAAGAAAAGAATCCATCTCAAAACATGAATCATGAATATTGACAAACAGTTTAAAATTTTAATTTCACTTGTTTTAAGATCCTCGTTTTAATGTAAAATTGTTTCAGGTCTGATATTGTCTTACGGATTGTTTAAGAAAATAAGTTCCATGTTTTTGATTATACGGAGGACAACATTTGCAGCTCCTAGTTATGTAAACCAGTAATTCAGAAAGGCTAATAAAAAATTAAAATTGGAAACTTCGTTTCCAGACAGGATTTTCTCCATTTTAGATTAATAAAACTGTTTCAACCTTGAAACCGTTGAGACCTTCTTTTAAGATACAGTGCTGGGCAAAGTTTTATTTTAAAATAGCCAAAATATTTTCTATTGGGGGAAAAAAGGATTATTTTGCATCTGCACAAAAATAAAGTGAAACTAGACACATTAAGAGTGCAGTGTTCATGAAGGCAATAATTTTATGTAACAAACCTGTTAATATACAATGAGAAACGTCTGCTGTTCTGTACAAAACTTATAATGACTGACTAGCATATTAAAGAAGATTATCCCAGCAATGCAAATACAACTCAGGCTACACTTTAGTTAAGTATTCTTTTCAAAGATTTTAAATTTTCAATAATGCTGAAAGGGAGACTGACAAGCCAAACATCCTACAGAACCATGCTGAATCTTTTAAACAGAAAGCCTACATTTATACTGCTACTTGCTTAACCCTTCAGCACACAGAAGTATTCCCTTAGTGAAATCCACCTCTCATGTGCTTCCCAGCAATTTTCCTCTAGCAAGAGACTGAGTGAGCAGCTGTTTATGTAGACAACACCAATGTCAGTCTTTGTTCTTCTTGCAGGGGATGCTTTAATAAAAAACAGCTGGTTTCATCCAGCATGGAAATCATTGGCTGTACTGCCTAACCAAACTTGGAATGCTATATCTGCATTTGCAAGCAGGTATATACCTTCATGTGCCTCTGCCAGGTTGTGTGTTAAGAGAGGTTTAGGAGTACAGTCAGTAAATCTGTGAATGTTAATAGTGAATGTTTACATTTTGTTGGAGGAAAACCAATATAAGAAAGATATTAGCTTTTAAAGTTCAGTCCATGTTATATTTGATTACTGGGATAACAGTACAATGAGGCTAAAAATCGTAATTTTGAAATTTTCAGATAGTAAGGGTTTTATAAAAGGTTCCTGTTTCCAAAGATGTTATTGGGGTCCACATATTCTTTGACAGACTTAAGCATCCCCAAGCCAACATCAGAGATACTCTCCTTCATCCACTGCTTCCGCAACTTGCCCACTAGAAAAACAAAAACAAAAATGCTTCAATATGTGGCATGATACTAGGAGCCAATCAATCTTATGACCATGAATGAATAAACACTGTGTGATAAATGCTTTTATTCAAAAATGAGAAATGTTTTGCTTTATTTGATTTATTGAGCCCACCAGACTATCAAGCTCATTAAGCTCAGTGTACTCCCAGAGGAAGCTTGTGTTCTACACTGTCTACTTTCTTTGCAAACTATGAAATTTAGATGAAGTTTAGGTTGAAATCATGTGTCAGATTACAAATAGTGAAATGGTAATTACATACATTTTTAAAAGAGCCCCAGACCCTCATCTTATTAAGAAATTAAAAAATGTTAGGAGGAAATCAATAAAAATAAAACATCTCAAGAATTGTTCTGCTTAGCCTAAAAACAGTTCTATGCAGGAAGAAGTAAGTTTTAACCACGAAGTAAATATGTTAAAAGTGACCTTCAGGTTTAAACTAGGATCAGCCTAAAAACCCATGGAAATCTCTAACAGAGAAATTAAAACTGGTAAAGGTATAAAATGTAATATTCACTCACCTAAAAGTGGCATGTTTCAGTTTAGATAAATCTCTATATAAAATAATATATTCTCCGTAGTTGTGAATATAAATTCACAATGTGGAAGCCTAATTTTCAGAGTACAATGAATATTTAAGACAAATTTACATACAAAATAGATTTTTTTCTAAATTATATATGGCAGAAATTTACATTTGTTGGATAAAACAGCAGTTTATCTCAACTTCTGTCACAAAAACAAACAAGTTATTTTAATGGTTAACTTAAATGGCCACTTTATGGGAATGTTATTTATTAATTAACCAAGTCATCAACCCTGATTTAATAGGTCAATCAAAATAGGGGACATTCTCTCATTACAGTCTAGCATTTAGCTTGCCAGCCTAAGACACAATCCATTTGTCAGGATGAGGTGATATACTATAGCATCTGCCTCTTGGAAATCTTTAAGAGTATCTGAAGCTAAATTCAAATCATCTTTTTGTCCCATTCTCAGGGTAGCCATCAAACTGTCATCAAAAAAATGAACGATGGGGACATCACTGGAGAACAGAATATTTTTGTTTATACCTTAAGGAATATAAACTAGCCACAGTGCTGACTGAAAGAAAGCAGTGTAAAATGTTCAAAAAACGCTGAAAAAACAATCCTGAAATGTAGTACAAAAATGACTATTTGTACATGTGTATTAAGTGTATAGTATAGGTATTAAAATTCATATGCAATAAGAGTAACTATTTCATAGTCTTCCTCTAAGATATCCTCCATCTATAATATCTTGTCATTACAATTCTATTGTCTCCTAAGCAAATTGATATTTTTGTCTAGTTAAATTAATAAAAAACTACAAAGACTGTGGATATGGCTTGACCATCACTTCAAGCAATCTACACTCTGGCAGTTAGAGACAAGGAGTTGAAGAACAGTCAATGCCATTTTCAACCGTTATCTGTAATATAGTTTCAGTGAATGTGTCCTGTGGTTACGGATGTAATTGTCCTGAAAAGACTGCAAACAACTGCTCCAACAAGATGGAGCACATTAGAACCACAGCAGGATGCCCAACAGCTAGCATGCCTGCCTCTTTTTACACCTCTAGTAATAATGCAATTCCATGAGGAACTGAACTACCGTCTGAGCAGACACCAAACAGCCATTGCATATTTAATGAAGTCACTCACCAAGTGCTGGAAAACAGAAGGTGCTTGGAGTGCATCATTAGTTCTGTCAGAGTGATAATTTACACATCTATCTTGTCAAATTTTCTATGGTTTATACTTTTACAATAATAAATCTAACATACATTTGATTAGTGAACTGGAAAGTAAAAAAGCTGTACAGAAGATATATCAGTGGTCCTCCATGAACGTATTTGATAAAAGATTTTTAACCCCTTGGTAGCGCTGGGCTGTGAGCTCCTGCTGTCCAGGGCTAATGAGTTTTACATAGTCTTGTCAGATATTGTAATTTTTTTTTTAATCAAGAGGTTAAAAACAAAGTTAAAGCAATTGTTTTCCTTAGCAAATTTAAATTGTTCCATTTACCATCTTACATGTAATTACAAGGGCATATAATTCAAGAAAAAAGCTACATAAAAGAACAGGATTTGTGTAGAAGATTCTGGTGTCATTCATACAGAAAAGCAGTACTATATCTCACTAAGTTTGCTTCAGTCTTATGAATATTCCATTTGTTTTATCTACATAGGATACCCCATTACATATTAAAGAAATTAACTATCTTCATATATATTAAATATTGAAGGGCCTGGACCTCAGAAGTTTTTAGAGTCTAAGTAGATATATATTCATTCTTTCAAGGGCAGGAAAAACGAACAAGACTCCTTGAGATGTTTTACTGAAAAAAGTAATTAAACTTCTTAAAATTACTGGAGCAGCTCAGAGACATACAGAGTTGTGAAAAAACTAACTACAAGAAAACATCGATCTGAAAGAAACACTGCCTTCTAAAACAAAAACCAGATCTAATTTTGACCCTAAGCTATTAAGAATTACAATAGTTTACTTCTGAATAGAGGAAAATCTCCAGATATCAGATTTCTGTATTTTAAAATTTATATTTAAAAACCACTTATGTTGAACTGACATGCACATCTTTAACTACATAGCAGCTGTTTATCTATGCTTTTATATCTCACCACAATAGTCGTACTTTGGGGCTGCTACTCTTTTCCCTATTAGTCCTATCAGAATAAACTCTATTCATGGGATCATGTTGCCTCACCACAATGCAACATCATAATATCCTTAGTAAGACATTGAGACTAATTATCCAAGGTGAAAAATATGGGGCTGACTTTCAGATTTTAAAACAAATGGCAAATGCCCAATCCCAACAAATGTGCTAACAATTGATTATACTGGTGCATAAATAAGTAATCAAAACCAGTCATGTAATTTCAAGCACCATTAGAAACAGGAAGAAGAGATCCACTGTTTGCAAAATGGAACAGGACAAATTCAGCAAGAAAACAAATGTTATTTTTAAGATCCCTATATGTTATAGAAGAGATGAAAGCTGTCATGCAGCTCATTTAGGTCTATACATCTATGTGCCATGTTTATACTGCCTTTTCCTCATAAATATGGTTAAGATCTATAAACTATGTATATAACATTTTAAAAGTGTATTCTAGGATTCTAACCCTTTAACTAGGTTATAAATAACCCAAGTACAATGAACTAGCCAATATGCACTTATTCTCTTCCTGAATGGACAGTGTACTGATATTTCACTGATTTCAACTGAAATAGGATGAAAACAGGAGGATTTCTTAATAAATGAGTTAGTGACTGGGGGTGGGGTGAAGTCTCTTTTCCTGTTCAGTGATGCATGGAGAAAATGATGTAATTTTTTTCATGAATTGGAATTTTTTTTTTTAAATATGGGAAGGGAGATGTGCATACATCAATTGGAAGTGCATGTCCAACTTTTGCCAATATGATTCACATTCTCATCATATCGGATCCAATTCTAGAATGCCTCAAGCAAAGTACTTTTCCAGCTGTGATCATTCATGTATCTTGACATAGTAATCCAGGTTCTTGCAACCTGTAGGTTAGATCACCACAATGTGCTCTATTTGGAACTCTGCCTGAAAAATACCTAGAAGCTTCAGCTAATGCAGTAGTCCAATCTCCAATGAGGCAAGCAGTTACCACATAATGCTGATGTTCCACATGGTATGCACTGGCAACTCTTTTGGTCAAGAGAGCACCTGAAAGTGTTGGTTATGTTCTATGAGTATCCTAAATAGTTTGGAACCCACTTATGTGAGAAATTATCTCATGTTTTATCACGGAAGTTGTGATTTTATGGATCGTTTTACTTTGTGCTTGAGGTGAAGCACTCCAGGATAGATGGGCAGGACACTCTCAATGGAGTGTCCATGCCTAGGGAACCTGCTCTCTGGTGATCCACCAAAGCTAAGGTTAGGCAAACCTCAGGTCACAAAGACCTGTTTATTCAGGACCTTTGACTGACTGTTACTAATACCTACAATTCTGTTATTAAATGTATTCTGAAGAACTTTTGTTAATAGCTATTTTTGATGATGTAAGGTGGCCAGGTGTTACGCAGCAGATAGAATGACAAATTTCTAACTACGAAGATAATGGGAAATGCTCACAATTTAGCATTTTTAATACAATGCAAATGATAAAGCTGGTGTTGCTGAACAATGAAAGTAAACAATGAGTAGTTTAAAGAAGCGTGTGTCCTGAACAGTACGTTTCTTAGACCAGAGGTTCTCAAACTGTGGACCGCGGACCAAGCTCCATTCAGGTGGCCCGCAGATAGTTCCCTCTAAGGTGTGTGCCTGGGCAGCCGCGCACAAGAGAATGAAGGGCCACCCTAAGACTGAGACATTTCTTAGTTTCCATTATCTTTGGCATTGCTGAATCTTACACGCTAAGCAGGCTTGAGCCTGGCCACTACTCAAAATGGAGACCTCCAAGTTAAAACCCGGGGTACTGCATGAATTGGGGCTGGTGATGCAATACTGTATTAACTCTATAGCATGGCAAATGGCAGCATGCTGTTATAAGACATAACATTTCAACTGAGATACAGAACAGAGGCCTGACCACTGGTGGCTTTCAGAGGTGGCCTGACACTTTTAGCAGGAGTAGGGATGCTTATTCCTGTGGCCATCATGACATTTGATCTTCACCAATTTCATTCTACCTACTTAAGAATAAACTCTCCTGTTGCATCAGCTGGATGAACAGATGGGTCTCTTCCTGTCCTGAAAACACTAGTGTGACACTGGTGATATAGAATAGCTGCTGCATCCAACCCCAGAAGAGACTGCTTTTCAAAACTGTGTGAAATGATCCCTGTATTGTATACAGTACCTCACTCATTCTGCATTTCTGCATGCATGGAATTTTGCCAAACTGCCAGAAAATGCCATATTTCGATTGTGAAATCTGCCATTTTG